GCGGGCAGGGGGGGTGGGGAAAGAGCTGTGGAAGAAGGACTCTCCTGCCAGTTACCTGCCTCCCCCTTGGCAGGAGCTACGGCTTAAGCTCCAAAGATGCCTCCATGGTGGGGCACCCTTCACATCCTGAAAATGCAAAATCTGCCGGAAACGTCGGGACCAGCAGAGGATGAGGCCCCCGTGGAAAGGGGCTAGGTAGACGCCTCCCTGACCCCACTGTCCACAGCGCCCCAGCCCCAGGGCCTCAGCGCTGGCTCCAGGGTCTGGCCCTCACCCCCTCCGCCCTCTGCGACCCTGCTGCCTGGCGGCTGCTCCAGAGAGACAATGGTGGCCCTTTGCCTGACGGGGTGCTTGGCTGCAGGGCCCTTGTCTCTGCCAGCTGTGCTCCTGGCCGCCAGCTTCTAAGGGGCCTGTGTTGGAGCGAGGTTAGCCTGCTGCCAGCTCTTCTGGGCTCAGCCCCCTCACCTGTTCCGTCTGAAGGTGAGCCAGGTCAGGGCACCCGGGCTCCATGTCCAGCCTCTCCTTCCCACACCCTCCCCTGCAGCTCAGGAGGCTTCCCTCATCCCAGCCCACAGTGGCACCCGGCCTAGCAGGTTATGGGCGTGGCCGCACACTGAAGTTTGCAAGGGAAGGAATGGGGTTTTCTGAGGGTCAGATGTAGGCTCAGTGCCCTGGGGAGACCCCGCCCGACACAGGCTACCACTGAGAGTACTCCCACCACCAGCCCGCAGGCCCCAGCCCTGGGGTTCCCTCACTCCAGCCTCACTCACCCCGCTTCCCTCTGCAGTTGGACAAACTTCTCCTCCCAAAGGGCCAGGAGCTTCTTGTCCTGGTGTCTGCGGAGCAGCAGCTCAAATGCTGGGGAGAAACAACCAGGTGAGGCCCGGCTCCCGGGGTGCTGAGAGCCTTCCCTCACCCTCTGCAACTGGCCCGGGGGTGAGAGAAGGAGCCGCAGGAACTGCTCTTGGCTGTAGCCACTGGATGGTACAGCAGGTGAGAGGGCAAGGCCTGGGCTCACCTTGCAGTTGGGGTCCAGCAGGAGCCCCTCCCGGGAGGCCAGCCAGGCCTCAGCCTGCTCCAGCTCCTGCCGCAGTTTCTGCAACCCCAGCTCTCCTCCCGGCATCCCAGGCCCAGGGCCCAGGCCTCCCCCAGTGCCGGCAGCTGCCCTTCCAGCTCCTGCAGATACTCCGTCACCCGGAGGGGAGGGGTTGCTTCAGGGGAGAGATTGGGCAGAGCCACCCAGGTAGGGCAGGGCTGGAGTGGCCAGCAGAAGTGCGGAGGGCTGAGAGGCCTGGAGTTCCCCCTGCCCTCTCCTTCTCTGTCCCTCTCCCCGCCCCTAGCCTGGCCTTCCTCTCCGCCAGCTCCACTCCCACTAGGCGTTCTGCTGCCTTGGGCCTTCAGGCTCCGTGCCAGCTCAATGCCAGGCTCACTTCTGTGCTTGTACCTGCAGGGCCATGAAGTGGCCATTGTCCACCAGCTGCCGCCCCTCCTGCTGTACGCCCTGGGCTTGAAGGCTGTGCTCCTCGATTTCTCACCCCAGCTCCTCATGCTGCCCCAGGAGCCGCTCGGCCTCTGCCACGTCCACAGCCAGCTCCTCTGAGGACACCAGCGCCTGCTTCTCCTGAGCCCTCGCTCTGTGGGGCAGGCAGAGGAAGCTGCTGTCAGGTTCTGGAGGGCAGTGGGCGGGGCGGGGTGGGGGAGGGC